TTGTAGAACCACACCATAAATTTTATTAATACACCCCCATAATTAATAAAAAATAATTATTAAAGCACATTAAACACTAGTAATAACACACTAGGTACACTAATATATCCGTATATGCATGCAGGTAACACACTGGTTAAATCACTGACACTTGTAGAATCACACCATAAAATTTGTTAATACACCCGCATATTTATTAAAAAATATTTATTAAAACACACTAAACACTTATTAAAGCACAGTAGGTAATACAGGGACAAGCACAATATCGGTAAAGTAAACCCTTGACTCGTACCGGTAAGTGTTGACAGGTCCGATCCGACCTCCTCGACTTCCATAACAAAACTGAGCAGCGGCGACCTCTTCAAGTGTAAGTGCGATTGGTAGTTTACAGTAGCCAATTAGACATCACGTAATCGACCAATAAATGAAATCGAAGTGCAAGAGTGATTATTGGTGTACAGTAGCCAATCAAACATCATGTAATCCACCAATAGCGTGCAGCCATTCTCATTGGTTGCTGTATAATTATTCTAACGTCATATTATTTATAATTTTATATTTTTTGGTAGTTTATTAACAAATTTATTGTTGTAATTATTTAAATTTATTAATTTTTTTTAACTTAATCTTGCAGATATGTTGCAAAATGATTATTCATTAATATACATATATGTATATATCGTGAATTATATAATATAATATAATGGGAATAATATGATGGAATATAGGAGATTATTATATTTGAAATAACACAAAAGCACAATAACTTTTAACCCTTTTATTCTCTTTCCTGCAATTTTCTTCAGATTTATTTTTTTTTCCTTACTACGGCCTAATGATACCTTATATTTCATCAAAGTGTATACGCTACTGAGGACTTCTACGGATAGCTTACTGCGCATGCACTGAGACTGCCCAACACTGACTGAGACTGCCCAACACTGATATTATATACGTTTTCCCCTGTCATAATTGCATCTTTTGTATGCGCTATGGTTCACCGCGCATCCACGTGACCAGGAGCGCATAAGTGAATAGATGTCATACGCACATTCCTATTTTTCCCGCCATCCTATTGTCAGGAGGTTAGGTTTAACAGGATTTCATGAACGATATCGATAAATGTTCTCCTCTTCCATTGTTCTGTAGTCCTGCTATTAGAAGACAAAATTCAATGGAGATGTACATTTAAAGTATTTCTTTTCTTATTTAATTCTTTTATCTCCGCATTCGTATTTCGCGAGTGATTGCGCATCTACTAAAATCAAATATATTTGTTTACCCCAAAATTTATAACGTGATAATAATGCGGTGGTAATTAATTTAATTAAACATATTGCAATGGTTTCGAATAATTAGGCTTTGCATTTACATGTATATGTAATGACTGATTATTTACGTAATGGATTCGATATTATTAATTATTAATATGAGGGATTATTATTTTCGAAGTGGAAATTATGAAGATCCGTAATTATGCATGATTGAAAATTTCAATTCTGAATATTTCATAGTTCCTCTTTCCTCATTTAAATGTCACCGTTGGTAATATTTAAAGCAAAGAATTAATAATTGATCAAACACAAAATCGAGATAACGATTGACTAAGATTTTTTCTCGAAACATTTGCGCAGGTGGATCGTAAATTTCTCATAGCGATTATATTTCGATTACAATACAACTCGTAACAATACATGAAACGATAATTGTTAATCAATTCAAAAGAGGGCGTCGTAAAACAAAATCGATTTAACGTTATCGAACTTAAAGATAAATCCACACAAGCAATTCTTTCCAAGAATTATTTTTGAAATAGGTACGTATCAAATTACATTGAAAATTTAATTTTTAATACTCTACATTGCATAGTGTATTATAATGTGCCTAAAAATGATTGTGCAGGAAAGAATTTTTCGTGGAAGATAGAAAGGTGGAGAAATATAAATGGAACGAGAATTTTACGCAACATCGACGAAAGTTCCGTGATTAGAGAATTGTCCATCCAAGCCTCGGGCGTTGAGACAAATGAAGCCTTGACATTTTCTTCGTTTCTTTCTCCGTATCGTTCGTTTACAAACCTTTTTCACCTATCAAAGGATACTGCACGTGAAACGAACTTCACGCGTACGGATAAAAGATAAAAACATACAATGCTTAGCTCTATTAAGTACTGCTAAAGCTCAGTACTTTGTAATACCTCCTGTTGCTCAAAATAGCAGGTAAAACTTACTTCTTATTATCAAATATCGTGTATGACTCTCATTAACAAATACGCATAAAAATCCGTCTGTTATCTAGGTATAGGTTATATGGAAGAAATGAATATTTTCTGCAAGTACGGTAAAACGTAATGTCAGCTTATACTGTAAGATATCAATGCTATTCAGAATCTTTTCCAACGCCATAATAGTCAGCATCTCATGGTGTTTACTAGCAAGATCCTAATTTTAATTTTACCATTAATATAATTTTCTTAATTATTCGACTAAATTAAATTCATTAATTTGAAGTTATCGGCGACCCTCGCGGCAGTCGAGGAATAAAAACGGTATCAATGGACTTAATATCTGAGCCATCAAACGCAGTTCTGCAAAGGAAGGAAAGAGAAGAGATGGTAGGGGATGAAGGTCCAAAGAGGAAGTCAATATCGCGAGCAGAACGGTGCGGAAGAGGAACATGATGGTCCGTGGGAGAGTATGGTGGTCGAAGATGATAAAAGGCTGAGAAGAAGTGGAGGAGACACGTAGTGTTGGTTTCAGGAGCTAAACGACAACAGTTCGGAGATGCCCTCAAAGACGATCGTTCATCTCGTGATCGCCTGCGGCCTCCTAAGCCGAGGGAACCGTAAGTAAATACATTCGCTTGTGATCGTATCTTCGAGAAAGTGAAAACCCATCTGCTTTCGAAATTACACTGGACCAAAGGAGTAGCGAATATCAAATTTTGTCTAAGCAACTACTTCTTAGGTACATGATGCACTCCTGTTAGTGCCATTTATTAAACGGTGCATCAAAACATTTCTATTACATTATTACACAAAGTCTGATTCTTTTTATTAATTTGTGACGTTTTGTTAGGCGTTCTTATGCAGTTTTATCCAGTATCTTAATTTTGATCTCCTGCCTGGTAAATTGGAGAGTGATCTTCTAAGATGGAATGAATTCTCAATGAGTCGGTTGTGGGAATCGAGTTCGGGTAAATCCCACGAAGATGCAAAGTTATCCAATCGATGAAAATAGTAGAGTTTGTTAAAATTCACCGATTGTCGTCGCGTTAAATCTGCACCGTTGAAACTTTTATGAATATTGCGCCATCTTGTCACGTTTTACGCGCCCATTCCCTCTCGATGATTTCCATTTGTCACGTATCATTAAAATATATCGAAAACCGATATAAAGGGAGCTTTTTATTTCAAGAATATGTCGTAATACTTTTCTAACGACCAGTCGTGAACATCGACGCAGAAGAAAAAGGCACATAATTCGTAATATTAGTTAACGGATCAACGCATTCGCTGAAGAGTTGCAAGGATAATTATCGAAAGTGGGAGATCGGCACAACCGTTGGAAAGTTCGAGAACATCCATGGACCGGTAGCTGAGGTTTTTGGCAATCAATTAAACGACTTACGATTTTCGTCCGGTGTCGATTTCGATGACCGGTTTTGTAACTCCTGCGCTAATGTATGCGACGCGTTTGCACAGGAGGTCAAGTCGCATCGTCGAACTTTCTCCGTTCGAGACTTTTAGCCTTCGGGACCGGTTTCCTCTTCAAGGTGCTGCATTATGCAACGGGACAGAGTTTCCCAATCGGAGAACCCCGGCAAAAACACCTGTACACTGCGGAGGATCAGCTGTTATTCTCGTATAAATTCATTCGGTCGCAGAAGATGAAATAAACGAGGTTTCGTAAAATGATTGAGAAACGCTGTACGTTAAATAACGAAACAAGTGGAAGCGTGTATAATACTAACATATTTCAAGTCAACATTCGCGTAATAGCTTCATCTTCGCGCCTGTATCGTGGAGCATCGACTTTCAGCACCGACTTACATAAGAAACGTATCGTATTACTTTCCTGTAACCGTGATGCGTCTTTCCGAATAATCCGTATCTCATATTTTAAGTAATTTGGAAAGCAGATCTTTAAATTTTCCACGAAGAGTTCGCAGATTTCTTGTAATATAATTCCGTACTAATGATAGTATTTTAATTTTCAGCTGTCAGCTCATATCAGGTATCATCACAATTTGGATCGAGCAATAAGGTTGATCACAATATATCGCCGAGGCAACAGCCTTCCTGCCCGGAAAGAAATGGTCGTTTCATAGTTCCTGGACAGTGTGACGCTTACATAGAATGTATTGATGGAATGCCTGAAGAAAAGCTCTGCCCCGAAGGTCTACTGTTTAACCCAGAAGCGAGATTCAATTATCCTTGTGGATATCCCATAGACGTTGATTGCGACGGCCGACAAAATAGACGTTAGTAACGTTTCTTTTATCGCCTTGCTCGGTCATAAGGGGGAAATCAAAACAACCGCAACGTTTCTACCCCGGGAAATTGGATTCTTCTTATGACCATCTTGTTAGCTTTCTTTTCTAATTAAATGGAATGAAATGAGAGGAGAGAACAATTGTTTCGACAATGTCATTCATACTAATAGTGTCATTTTCAGAACGTGTTTCTTATTTTATTATGACTTATCCTTATCTTGCATATTTCAATTAAAAAAGTAATTGAACTTGTTACTTATTTTTTTTTATTTTTAGAGGCACCACAGGCAACAGATGATTGTCCTCATCAGTATGGATACTTCAAGATCGGAGATTCGACACACTGTGGCCAGTTCGTAAACTGTGCAGCAGGCATAGGTTATGTTTTCGATTGTCCTGAAGGATTAGCCTTTAATTCTGAAAGTTACCGGTGCGACTGGCCAGATCAAGTACCAGACTGTGATGCCGAAGGTGAGAGAATTTTACAGTTTGTAATAAAGCGAAAGCTATTTCACTTTGAACTGCGTCCTGAACAGCACTTCATGCATTAAAACTTTTCTGGACATGCCTGTCATTTCGTCGAACGAGGTGCTTTCCTGTGACCATGTATGAACGCACACTTAGAAGCATAGATTATGTTGCCACACACAGTAGTGAAAGCATTGACAGAATTTTAAAATAGTAAATCATAGGTAATAATTTCATGAAAGAATTTTACTAAGTTTTATTAATTAACGATGCAGCTTTCTTGGGCTTCCGGTGTCCGGAAGGAGACGACACTTACTACGGTAATGCGATCAAGTTCTACCCCAACCACAGTGACTGTCAGCGTTATTTCGTCTGCGTGAATGGCAGACCACGATTGCAGAATTGCGGCGAAGGTAACGCATTCAATGAGCTGATCAATGCCTGTGATGCCGTAGAAAATGTCACGGGATGGTAAGCGGATTTCTTTCAAACATCTTCACCATGAAAATCAATCACTCGTTTCTGTACCTCCTTCTTGTCAAAGGGATCTTAACATTGCAAATGATTCAGCTTCTTTTGGTTTCAATTCGTTCTTCCTATTGAGTTTACCTTATTGATTGCAATATTTTGATTGGTCTCTAATCTAACATTTTGTCATACTATTGTTGCAGTGAACCACCACAGTCCATCCTTGAGCAGACCAAGTAAATTACTACAATTACATTAGCAAAGTGAAGCAACGGAGCCGTAAATTCTGATAGATAATAAGATACCAGAGCTGCTGATAAATATAGTTTTGAGTATGGAATAACTTTAATATGAACATCTAATAAATTATAAATTATTTTCACTCAGAACCAGACATCAGTAGCTTTTGTATCTTAACATTACATTAGACTTTTGTTTTATATTTTTCTTTGGATAAAGCAACGATTGACGAACAATTTATAAAAGTTCCGTTGTTCGATGAACTCCAAACGAAGAATATGTAACATGACACGAATAAATATATCGATGTAAATATGTATTTTATAAGTCGATCCACCGTAAAAATACACTTCGAACTGTTTGTTCCTGTATTCTCAATCGAAAATAAAATACTATAATTTGATAGTCAAAAAATTTGTTAAAACATCTTATCGTTTATTTCCCGTTTTATAGTTTTACATCGAACACATACCGCCTTCCCGTCTGATCGTAATAAATAATTTGTTCCTTATTATGCGACAGTTATTCGTTTAATTGACGGCAAATCTTTGCGAGGAAAACATTCCACACAGTTGTTAATACTTCCTATTAAAATGCTGAACACGTTGGTCAGGTGATTTTTACCAACGCGTCAGTTTATGACAACGGATAATAAATCAATAACGGATGATTCACATAGATGTACAATCAGTTGCAACGTAGGTTTCCCTTGGTTAAGAGAGGAGGTAGATATGAAAACCTCCCACCGACAGTCTAATCTAAAATCTGTTGTCCCAACGAGTAAAGGACACGAACAAATAAGGCGAGCGGTGATACAAAGAAGTCTCCTTCATTAACGGAAGCCTAAGTTGCACGTGATCGTACACGGAATTTTTATTTCGCTGCTTGTAACAGTCAACCCATCCACTCGTTTACACACATAAATATAGAAACACACATTATCTTAAATTTTATAGCGTGAACGCGACACGTACTGCGCGATCGATAATTACAATTATTCATGTACAAAGAGATAAACGATGCACAACGTGACCCCATTAATCTGAACTAATTAAGTACGAATTGGATTAACGAGTCACCGCTGTTCTTACAAGAGAAAACATCAATATAAATTAACTACGATTTAACGAGTTTTCTGCTCGATTATTCTACCGTAATTCGGGCTATCAGGTAACAAGATTTCGTATCGTTCTGTACTGCCATCCTTACCTCAATTACCCTATTACCCTCTAGTATTAGGTCATTGAAACGTGACAAAGTGAAAGTAAACTTTTTTCATTTTCTGTTTATGGAACAGAGTTACAATGATAGTCCATGTTATTGCTGTAGAAGCCTAGAGGACGGGGGTCTACGAAGTCCCGGAAGGCACTTTCGACAGCTTGTTGGGAATCAACGAATAATATGGTGGAGAGTTTCGAGCAACTTTTGTAACTTTGACATTGTTATTTGTGCGGTGTGAACATCGGGCCAAGCATTGTAATCACCAAATACAGGAATTATTCAAAAGCTCTGTTCCAGTTCAGTAAGCAAGGCAGTACATCACGTCATAAAAACGAGATCCTTTCGAATCGTAGTTGAGGTACACGTTCTTTAGTAATATGTATAAAAGCGCAAATGGAACCGGTTAATCCGGACAAATTCCATGGGAGTCCGGAGTAACGGATTTCAGCGCAATATTTTGGAATACGAGAATGTGAGTAGAAAAATAAACTGACGGGATAGGAATATTTTTTTTAAAGCTTTCAGTGATTTTGTATATGCAGTCATTTTGTTGTAAAAAAGAAATCGTTTATACCACAGCTCAAAAGTGGAATTGCTTATGGAATTCCTAATGTTTGTTAATTAATATTGGACAATGGAGAATGACGAATCGATGGCCGTGGTTATTGCGAATATTGAATTACAAATGATATCCTCACAATGGTATTGTACTGGCATTGTAATGGCATTGTTGATCAATAATTAAGTAGCTAATTTGTCTGCACTCAAATGGATTCGACAGTCAGCTAACTAGTTTGATAACTTATCTTAGTCTGGATTAAGTAGTCAGGTAATTTAAATTACACGGATGTTCAGATAATCCACTTGAATTTAGATTAATTAGATAACTCAGCTATAAGATCAATCAAGTAAAGCTCAGATTAGTCGAAACGTAGTCGAATAATTTGGGAAAGCAATTAGGGAACTTTTGAGCAGTACTATAATTGAAACAGCCTTTTCCTGAATTCTCGATAAATTTTCAAAGTCTCTGCACAGCTCAGAATGGATTAAATGACCGAGTGGTACGTGGTGCGTCGACCAGAAGAATCTCGGTGGTTTCGTTCGTCGGAATAGTTCTGTTCCGACGGAAGGTAATTTCATGGGGGTCCATGGTGCAAATTGTGCAACTCGTAAGCAAGGTGGCAACATTCAGAGTCGCTCCAACGGTGTTGGTCTCGTACGAGCCTCTCCACGTTAGAGCCTGTGCACGGTGTCGCTTCTGAAACCTGAAAGAAGATTGTAATTAGTATAATTGTAATGATGGGTTCAAATGATGTCCACAATTTTATTTTTTCTCCACCCAAAGGTGAAAGTGAACACAGAACAAAGTTGATACATGAAAGACGATGGAACTCACGTTCGAGCAGAAGGATAGTAACGATTGATCGGTGTATTTGCTGTACAAAGGTGACGCGTGATTTGCCCGTTGTTGACTCTGACTTCCCGGATGTGCACTCTGCCCGTTTCCTGCGATCTCCAGATATCCCCTGCTGCTCGCTAGACTACCTCCTCGCGTACCAATATCTGAAAAACATCGTCCTTTAACTTTTACCCTTTCACCTTTATTCAAAGGGACATCCCACTGAAGGAATTAATCCCTTTCATATCCCGAAGAATAAGATCCTTTCTACCACGAGAATAGAACCCGATATAACTCTCTACAATATTCCATGGCGAATCAAGCAAATAATAATACAAACTTGTTGTTCAACTAATTAAAAGTTTACAGTAACAAGTGCACTTTTTAGCTCTGTGATTTCGTTACGTTTTACACAAACTTTTATGCAGGTGTTTTATTACAGCCATGCGTTTTATCGAATTGTTTCACACATCTTTCTACAGGTAGTTGTCGATGTGGAAATCGAGAGAACAGCAACAATTTTACGTGCAAGATGGAAGGGGAAGTATCATTGATTCGAGTTGAAGGGATATATCATTCTCTCTGGACGAGATTTCAATTTACTTTACGAGAGTGAGAAATATCGAAATTGCGAGGGAAAATAGTGATGCAATTTGTTCCAGATACTTTCTCTAACGAAGATTTATCGACCTGAGTGATCTCCTTCGTATCTTTTCTATTTCTCTGTTCCTTCTATAAATACCTATTCCTACTCTTTAAAGTTTTCATCCAATAATCACGTTACCATACAGAGCATGCACGTGCAATTAAAGGTGGAAACACATTTTTAGTATCGAGCTTAAAGACATAATATGTTTTCCTTGTTATATTCTTATTTTTTTGTCTATTTGTCTTATGATCTTTGAGCACAGTTTGCTGACACATAAAAAGTATATAATTCTCAATAAAATATTCTGACCGAACAGTTAAACATTAATGTGTCTCTACCTTAATTAAAGATCATTTCTGTTGGTCAACGTTCTAACGATCTCATATTATACAAGACAAATATTTTGTTAATACAGAACATAATATGTTCTCCTTTTTATATTCTCATCTTTTTGTCCATTTGTCTTATAATCTTTTTAAGTGAGCACAGTTTGCTGACACTTGAAAAGTTTATAATTTTGAATAAACTATTCTGGCCGAATAGTTAAACATTAACGTGTCTCTACCTTAATTAAAGATCACTTCTGTTGGTCAACGTTCTAACGATCTCATATTATACAAGACAAATATTTTGTTAATACAGAACATCGGAGATAATGGTTGCGCTATGCATACGATTTCCATCCGCTTTGCATATTTCATGCTGAAATCCAGGCATAATCCGGGTTCGTCGTTTCAGGCTGCGTCAATCCGTCAAACATTCTCTGACTAGAAGATTGAAAGCTGAGCGTAGCGAAAAGTATTGCAAAAAAACGACGCGTACATCGCGATAGACAGAGAACAGAGGAGTTCATAGGATAGAGAGGACACCTTGTGTACTCGCCATCGAGTGAGTAGATCGTCGAGTAGTCCTGTCGTGTAGAAAACAGAGCCACGGGTCTTTCCACCAGCGTGGTCGTTTCGAACGTTTACCAAGCTTCGATGCGTTGCAGCTACAAGTGCTTCCCGAGTGCGTCGAGCGTCTGGAGATCCATCTGTTCCGAAGACGAGGCATTCTCTGGCTCCTGATTACCCTGGACACTTCGGCGCGCACCTCTCCGTTCAGGAAACAGTACAACACCGCCACGAAGAAACCCTGATAGCACACAAAAAATTACAAGGACCTGAAAGGATTACAAGTAAAGGTACTTTAAATTCGTGTACCTGAAAAGATGCAAACAATTGATCACAGAACAGCCACACAACTTCTACGGTTTCGTTCACACCGATGCTGTACGACATCCCTAGGAACACTGTGTAGTGGACTCCGAATAATGGCACCAGGACCAGAGTGCTTTTCGCCCATCTCCTGCAAAACACAAGTTTTTCAGTGGAAGCTTGAACAGAATCAGTGACGTTATAGTTTGCAGTTGTTCGAAACTAGGTCCTAACAAGCGGGTTCACCAGAGATTAGGGCGAAACTTACTTGTATCTCTGTGTCTCCTCCGAAACCGTAGACTTCAGCTTCAGCAGTAGCACTCTGACTATGTTTACGAACAGCACGAAGTTGATCTGTGGAATATAAAGTAGGCATTGTCCGTGAAAACGCGGGTGTATTGGAAAGTTTCGGAACTTCGATTTTCCGTATTGGGTGATAAAACGAAACTGTATAATCTAAAGGATAGTACAACGGGTCGAGTAAACGTCGAAACGTGAGAGGTTGGACGTTTGGAAACTTAGAAAGCTGAGAATGTGTCATGTGTCCATTGTATCGCGACTGTATGAAATAGGTTTCCAAAGGACAAAGGTAAACGCGTCAACAATATCAAGTAGTCAAGAGCTAAGTTGTCAGCGCTGTTATCTTACCAAAATGGACAACATTGTAGGAACTCGGATCAAAAGAAAGAGATAAGGATTCTCGTGGGTGGTCCAACAATACTTGTTCTCGAGCAGGACCCTTGCTACGATCCAACAAGACACGAATACCGCCGGCAGACCTGCAAAGAGATATCAAAAGAAGTCCTCGATAAACTCGGAAGAAAATGTCCGCTTTATAAAAGATACTGTTTATTAAAAAGTGAAAAAAAGGAAGAAAGATTCTTTTGAACTTACCCCAACCAAGACACACGTAGGCAGCGATGCTAGAGTTGACGTCAGTGAAGAGCGCGAAGAAGACCAGATTGTGCAAATAGAGTCCTTCCATTAATATCCAAAAATAATTGGCGAGAATGAAATACTGCCAGAAGCTGGTGAACACTTTACACAACCAACTGCTCTCCTTCTCGTCGACCAGCCAGTAGGTTTTACCGTTTTTTATCATCACGTCGGAGGCCAGGGCGATCCCGGAAACGAACAGGATGTCCTTCATCAATGCCATGAACGCTCTCAGCATGAACGAGGCGAAAAGATGCATGTGCAGCATGTTACGAGGACACCTCAATTTCCTACGTCCAATTCGGGATAAACTTGGAGTAGTGATGCGATCAGGAATTCGCACAGATTAGAATACCAACGAATAACTGTGAGCGATGGCTGCGCGGAAGCGGCGATAAAAGCTGATTTAGAGTGACGGAGAGGATTCCGTTTCTTTGGGGGAAGTTCTTGGGGATTGGGGGAGTTGGAGGTTTGGGGATTTGGAAAGGTGGGAATTTGGAAATATAGGGATTTGGGGACGTGGGGATTTGGGGACATGGGGATTTGGGGACGTGGGGATTTGGGGACGTGGGGATTTG